TTCTTTGATTTAACTCTTAGCTATTGTTGCATCATTTCTCCCCAGCCCCTCTGACTTGATCATCATCTACCTCACAACGTCAGTAGTACCTCCATTATCTCTAGCTGACCATTATCTCTTCCTTGACTTTCACCACTCGCTTGGTTGTTCCAGGTTCACGTCCTCACAAGTCTATGCGCTCCCATCTCATTTCTTTGTCATTGCTTCATGATCCTTCCATCAGGGTGGTTCTTCTAAAATGTTAACTTGAGTTCTGTCACTTTCTGCTTAAAACTCACCAGTGGATCCCAGCACCTTCCTGATCCCCTTCTCAGCAAAGCGTATGAACGCTCCATATACCACTTCCAGCCAGGGTAACCCTACTGGTCTCCTGACACCCCCACAGAGCCCCAAGACCAACAACCGCACATGACTAGCAGTTGTAAGTGCACTATGTTATCTCACTACCCACACTTGAACAAGGGTCTCCCTCTGCCTGTACCTTCCTCTGCAGGCAAGGAAATGATGGCTTCTCTTCTGCTTCTAATAACCCAGCTCAAGTGTGTTCTTGATCATGATTAGTCCTTTGGGGCTGTGCCACAATTGTATAGCGCCTGCGCCCCTACCTTAGCATATCCCAAACTGGATTCCTAACCAAAACGAGAATTCTCTGGGATCTTTATATCCCCATTGCTTGGACCATGGGGTGGACGCTAGGCCTGTGCTCCCCAGGGCTGGGGGTTGTGTTTAAACCACCAACCTATATAGTCAGAGTGACAAATGGAGCCTTGTAGAAGGACAGTGTCTGGTGAAAAGGGGAAAGATGAGTTGCTGGTGGCAATTGTGATGGTAATTTGGGGTTTGTTAACCGCTTCGTTGGGTACGGCAACAGTAGGAAAGGAAAGGAAGGAATTGCTTTGAGAGCTACTGAGAGCAGCCTGTGTGGAACTGAAGCAAACGACAATGACAAAAACAAACTCCGTCCCGTGAAGTCGATGCTGACTCGTAGTGACCCTACAGGACAGAGTAGAACTGCCCCTGTGAGTTTGCTAGATTGTAACACTTATCATTTTATTAGGGGCTCTTACAGCTCTTGTAACAATCCATACATCAATTATATCAAGCACATGTGTACATATATTGCCATCATCATTTTCAAAACATTTTCTTTCTGCTTGAGCCCTTCATAGCAGCTCCTCTTTTTCCCTCCCTCCCCAACCCGCCCTCCCTCATGAACCTTTGATAAATTATAAATTATGATTATTTTCATATCTTACACCAGTGGTTCTCAACCTTCCTCATGCTGCGACCAATTAATACAGTTCCTCACTTTGTGGTGACCCCCCCCAGCCATAAAATTATTCTCCTTGCTACTTCATAACTGTAATTTTCCTAGTTAGGAATCGGGTGACCCCTGTGAAAGGGTCGTTCGACCCCCAAAGAGGTTACTGCGCCCCACAGGTTGAGAAATACTGTCTTACACCATCCACTATGGTTCTTCACCCACATTTCTGTTGTTTGTCCCCTTGGGGGTGGGGGTGAGGTGTTATACGTCAATTATTGTAGTCGATTCCCCATTTCTCCCCCTTCGCCCCCCCAACTTCCCCCTACCCTCATGGTATTGCTACTCCCATTACTTTACCTGGGGTGTGGGCGTGGTATCTGTCCCAGATTCCTTGTGTCAAGAGTTCTTATTTGTACCTCTGTACATCCTCCAGTCTACCGGATTTGTAAGGTAGAACTGGGGTCATGATACTGGGCGGGGGGTGGAGGGGGCACATTAAAGAACTAGAGGAATGTTGTGTGATCTGTAGGTGCTATGCTGCACCCTGGCTGATTTTTTCCCTTGTGAGCCTTCTGTGAGGGGATGTCCAATTGTCTACAGATGGGCGGTGGGTCTCCACTCCAACCCCCATCATTTTCATCGATATATTTGTTTGTTTGGGGTCTTTTGATGCCTGATACCTGATCCTTTCGACACCCTGTTATCATACAGGCTGGTGTGCTTCTTCCACGTGGCGTTGTTGCTTCCCTGCTAGATGGCTACTTATTTAACTTCAAGTGGGAGTAGAAAACCTCATCTTCTTTCTGTCGAGCTGCTGGTGGTTTCGAACTAGAGACCCTGTGGTTAACAGCCCAACTCATAACCACTACACCACCATGGAAGTGAACAGAGGGAAGAAAATAATATACTGATGTGCTACTATTCATTGTCTCGCTTAAATCATTTATAGTTGCGTTTTGGTTTTCCAACAAACTAGCATGGGGATTACATTGAGAGTTTGGATTGATGGATTGAACGGACCGTAGTTTTAATGCCAGCCCTATCACAGAAGGCATCAGATTCAGACTCACTGCAATCAATTGATTCTGACTCACCGCGAACCTGCAGGACAGGGTGGAACTGCCCCTGTGGGTTTCCTAGACCGTGACTCTTTATGGGAGTAGAAAGCCCTGTCTTTCTCCCAAGGAGCGGCTGGTGATTTCAAACGACTGCCCTTGAGGTTAGCAGCGCAACTTGTAACCACCCCGCCTCCAGTGCTTCTGAGAGTAGACACACCTAACCTGGGTGAAGGAGAAGGCAGAGCAATCAGTATGTCTATATTTTTAATGCAAAAGAATAAGTAGACCTGTTTATCCACTAGCTCTCTCCCCACCCCCACAACCCCCCCAAAATATATGTATATATATTGGACTTGATTTAGGTAAAAGGGCAGAAAGGAAAGAACAAAAAGGACTTGTTAAAAAATATTTATATCTTGACTTCATCACTTATTAAGTGATGAGAATAACTACTTCCACATGGGATTAAGGAGCAGCACTGAAGCAAATAATACTTGGAAAATATTACCTGTAAAATAGAAAAACACAATAAGTGGTCCATTTTTAAAATTTATCATTTAACCTCAGAAGCAATGTATGCTTAGAAAATATAATTTTACCTTTTTATTCACCTCGTCAAGTTGTAATCAGGAAGGCAAAATTAATGGAAAGATTTCTGCTATATATGTGTCAGATTTAAATGGCTTAAAAATCACATGCTTTTTATGGCTATCTATTTGGTGTTTATAAATTACCTGGTACTTATGACTATTTGATACTGATTCATTTTGAAATTTTAATGAACCATAATTTTCCCAAGTAAAATGTTGTTTATCTTTTTTAAACATAAAAGAACAGATGGCTCCTTCTGTGAAATAAGTAGCACATGAGGAATTTGATTAGAGTTATAGATTTCACACAGATTCATTTTTTATACTTACTGTCATTACGATTGCCGATTGTACTTTCCAATTGGAGAAGATTAAGTTACGATATTATTGGTGATTTATAATTTCATAATAGAAACTATTCAGCAACTTCCCTTGTGAGCACAAAAGAAGTGGCAATATTAATACCTGTTAATCCAAATGTTCTTTCATCAAACAATACTTAGTGAGCCTATTCACGTAATCCACATTACGGTGAGTACTGCAGATGGAGTAGTGAACAAGACAAGTGAAGTTCCTACTGTTGTGAAACGTATCTATAATGGAGGGGGACAGACCAGGATTAGAAAGAGAGATGGATAGATTGAAAGTTAAGCGCTAAGAAGCAAAACTGTTACTTTGAGGACTAAGGTACACCTGACCCATGTCATAGTATCTTTAATTGCCTCATATGCATGTGGAAGTTAAAAAATGAATGAGAAACACCAAAGAAGAATTAAGATATTTGGGTAATGATATTTCCCGAGAATAATGGACCAGGGATTGACAGAAGAAGCACCAGAATGCTCCTTGGAGGCAAGGATGGCAAGACTTTGCACATGCCATCCGGAGGGACTGGTCCCTGGCGAAGGGAGGACATTATGTTTAGTAAAGTAGAAGGTCAGTGAAAAACACAAAGACCCTCCACAGGCTGGATTGGCACAGTGGCTAGCACACAAGGATCGGAGGTGGCAGGGATTTTGAGGAGGGTGCAGCATTGGGCAGTTTTGTGCATTGGATCCCTGTGAGTCTGATCATCCCTAACAAATACCAACTGCCACCATGTTTAAGGAAGTAGGTCACCAAGTCGTTGCCCTTTGGAGACCCTGGGTGGTTTCAAACAGCCAACTTTTGTTACTGCTAATACTCTGCAACAACAACTGCTACTCCTACTATGTGCCATCAAGTCGGGGCTGACTCATAGTGACCCTATAGAGCAGGGTAGAATTTCCCCATATAGAACAGGGTAGAATTTCCCTGGTGTGTTTCTGCGACCGTAACTCTTTATGGGAGTAGAAAACCCTGTTTTTATCCCTTGGAGCAGCTGGTGGTTTTGAACTTCTGACCTTTCAGTTAGCAGTCACCAAGGCTCCTAAACTTGGGTGGCAATCACTCATTTAACCTTTGCACAATAGCAACTCCTTTTGCATTAATAGGGCATGTAATCCTTATGAACTTTTATGAGATCATGCCATGATTATACCTGTTTTCAAATGAGGGGATCAATGAAGCAAAATCTTTGCCCCTGATAGCTTATAGTTCATTTGATAGACACTTGAACTAAACAGTTCTGGCCAATGTGGTAGATGTCACTCTAGAGAGTTAATGAACATAGAAAAGAGAACGGTGAGAAGAAATGAGAACTGCCCTCACATTCAGCAACCACACTATCCCTGTGAGAAAGTCTGAGTATCACTGTGTTGCCTAAGGATGCTAAGTGATTTGCCTGAGACCACACAAGAATGAATCAAAGCTTTTCTAACTCTTATTCTAGTTTGCTAACTAGCTACCCTATTACCCCACCCAGTTCATAATACAGTGTACATTACCAAAGTTTTTTGTTCCTATCAAGTAGTTAGATTTTAAAAGAAGAGCCCCAGAAGAGTGCACATTTTATTACACCATATTGCATGATTGTGCTAATGTCCTTCGCCACGGCCATTGTCAGTGAGGGTGCAGTGTTGCAGTGTGTGTCGGGGAAGCGTGAGGAGGAAAATGTGCCCCTACCAGGGGCATGCCCTTTATAGCAAAGCTTCTTTGTTTGTTTCCTAGGAGCTGGAATCAGGATCTGAAAGTGGAGCGGAGACAATTTCATTAAATCAGTCACAAGGAAATTTGTCCTCTCACACCGACTCCACTGTCCCACCATCTCCCACCCCAGCTTCCAGCTCTGGAACCAAACCCAAGGCTCTGGTAAGTTGTAAACTCTAACATTCAGTCTCAACTCGTAACAAGTCATCCACTGCGTTGATCCTCTGATGAGTTGACCCCTTGGCCATTCGATAGAGAGGAAATACCCTTAGAGTCTTAACTGCAGTGACGTGAGAAGTAGGTATACACCTAGAAATATGTGATTTTTCAAATCAATGACAGTAATGCAAATATTTCACCAAAACAGATCATGGATCCAGAATTATCCAACATAGGACAAGTAAATTTTGTCCCTGGATTCCCAGAACTTTAAATAATAAGGTCTTTACACTACTCTTTAAACAATCAAAGGTTTACAATCTAGAAATGGTTGTTTCTTCATTATTAACAGTTGTTTGACCTTGGGGAATTACCAGATAGATAGGTAATTACTTTAGATGATAGATAGGTAGATGGATGATAGATATAGATGATATAGATACATGCACATATTGATATGTAATGTAATATTCTTTAGCCATTAAGAGACAAAGCACATGTAAAGTGGTTAATAAAATATATGGCACAGAATAAGTCTTGAATCAATCACACAATTAATATTATTATGATGATGATTTATATATTTTACAGATGCCACCAAAACAACTGAAAGGGGAACAATTTATCTCATGAAAAAATTAACATGTGTGTCATTGTGCCTAAGAGCTCTTTTCCTTTAAGTAGAAAAATAGACAGGCAACAGGAAAGCAGGGTTGACTCTAATTACTGCTTCAAATATCTTCAGCCCTAGCAGCTCCAAAATAATCCCTCCTGGTTCAGTGAAAGTCGGAGTGCCACATGCTCTTCTAATGCCCATGTTAGCTTAATAGAGAAACACGTTCGGATTGCTTCTTTGTCTGCCTTTAAAATAAAAGGCAGGTCTGAAATAGGAATCAGAAGAGAAGATTCTGAGGCTCAAACATAGTAAGTTGTTGTCATTGCAAGGAGAGTGAAAAACATATCATTTAAATCTCACATATGCCAACTACTGTCTACCCACAGACATTTGTGTTTATATAGAAATTAAATTCTCTTTTATTATGTCTAGAAGGTTTTTTTATGGAATAAACATCTATTGAACACAAAGGACTTGCTATTCCTTGTGCTTCATGAAGAAAGACTCAGAGAGAATGTAACTTATTCCCTGTCTTTCAGAAAACAGCTTGCAGTTTAGCAAAGGAAGGTAGGCATGCAGGCAGTGAAATGCTGTGTTCCCTCAGGTACACAACAGCAGCAGCAGCAAACCCAAACCCACTGCCATGGGCTCATCCTAATTCTGCAGGACAGAGTGGACCTGCCCCATATGCTTCCTCTTTACGGAAGCAGGCTGCCCATCCTTTACCAGTCGAGTCACTAGAGGGTTCAAAGCCTCAACCTCTCATTAGCAGCTCAGTGCTTACCCATGGCCCCATGGCCAGTACTGGTGGTCTTAGATGCCATCAAGGTGGCTCTGTCTCTCAGTGAACCTGTGTGCAACAGAACCAAACACTGTCTGGTCCTGTGCTAACTTCACAGTTGTGTTGGCGCCTGTAGTTGCAGCCATGTGTCAGTCCATCTCACTGAGGGCCTCCCTCTTGCTCTGCCCTTCGGCATGGACAGTGGCAGTGGTGCGTATGTTGAGACTACAGGGAACAAACAAAGAGAGGGTACATTGAGAAAGCAGGTCCAAATATAATGTGTCCGCCGTCAGACCGCATTGCAATCTTGTTCATAGTGAGTCAAGATGAAAATATGAAATCTGATGCTCGCATTTTATCACATTGTGCATAAGGAAAAAGATGAAAACTTCTCAACATCAGTAATTTGAAGGGTCTGAGAATCACAGGAGCATTGTTCTGTTTTGTTTTTACTGATAGCAGGAGTGTGGTTGACATGTAAGAACATAGCGGAAAGGCATTTCATTTTTAATCCACTTTTTAAAGGATTTGCTAGTACTCTGCCAATTATTATCCAACCATAATATTGGTTTTCATTTTAAAATAATTACCATAGACATCTACTATTTAACTACTGGAATATACACATTTCAGTGTATGGTTTCCTTATAACAAGTTTACAACTGTCTATGAAGTGTAAAATCACACATATGTGGTCAGTATAGTTCCATAGACATATGTACATATTTTAGGTAACCATTTTAACCAAGTTTTTTAATGAAAAACACAAAACATTGCATTCCCCCAGGATTTAAATCTCTTAGGGTAGTATATACCTTCAGATTTATCATATTTTGCCTAAACAGTTCACCAAAATATTCACCCCATAGGCACGACTGAGAAATACTGGAGCTAATTCTTAGACCGAGAATGCATAGTTTTCATTTACCCCACATCAACTGTTTCCTGAACGGTTGTCAACTTGGAATAGAAGTGGGGGTGGGCATGCATCCGTCTGCTGAGGGGTGACGTGCTGCCTAGGAGTAGAATCACGAAGCCATACTGTGACACAACTCATTAGACTACAGGTGGCAGGAATTGTTATGCAATGAACTTGGCTTCCAAACACAGAATTCCACTTCAAGACAACCAAAATATGCATTACGCACCTTGGCCAATTCCACAAGAAGGGCTAGACAGCTGTACACGCAACTCTCTCCAGCTCCTGAGGTATAATTTAGTAAAATCCTCCAGCAGGCCATGAAAGTCCTCAGAAAGACACGCTGCACTGTCAAAAGCAACGAGCATGAATATGGCCAGGACGGAAAAGTAACGTGAGAAACGAGCTACTTTTGTTTGGGCTGGGGAGAGGCTTTTCCTTGTGTGTGAATTTCATCTGTTGATTTTTATTGGTGCTGTTATTCTTTGGAGGACACTACTTTTTTATTACACACTGAAACTAATTACTAGGCCAGATACATTTCACAGTCTATGTGAAAAGACAGAATATTCTAGTATTCTGTTGAACATTTATTTTAACTGTGTACTAAAATTTCAAATTAAGGAGAAGCCTGAGTTTCTTTTTTAAAAAAAATCATTTTATTGGGGGCTCTAACAGCTCTGTTTTTTAAAATAATTTTTTGGGGGGCTTATACAACTCTTAATCACAATCCATCCATCCATCCATTGTGTCAAGCACATTTGTTGCCATCATCATTCTCAGAACATTTTCTTTCTACTTGAGCCCCTGGGACCAGCTCTTCATTTTTCTCCTCCCTCCCCCACCCTACCTCCCTCACTAACCCTTAATATTTTATAAATTATTATTATTTTTTCATGTCTCAAACTGACCAATGTCTCCCTTCACCCACTTTTCTGTTGTCCATCCCCCAGGGAGGAGGTTATCTGTAGATCATTGTGATTGGTTCCCCTTTTGTCGTCCCCGCCTTTCCTCTTACTCTTCTGGTATCGCTACTCTCATTATTGGTCCTGAGGGGTTTATCTGTCCTGGATTCCCTGTGTTTCCAGCTCGTATCTGTACCCGTGTACATGCTCTGGTCTAGCTAGATTTGTCAGGTAGAATGGGAATCATAATAGTGCGGGGAGGAAGCATTAAAGAACTAGAACAGTGGTTCTCAACCTTCCTAAGGCCGGCGACCCTGTAATATAATTCCCCGTGGTGTGGTGACCCCCCAACCATAAAATTATTTTCATTGCTGCTTCATAACTGTAATTTTGCTGCTGTTATGAATCAGGTGACCCCAGTGAAAGGGTTGTTCAACCCTCAAAGGGGTTGCGACACTCAAGTTGAGAACCACTGAACTAGAGGAAAGTTGTATTTTCATTGGTGCTATACTGCACCGTGACTGGCTCATCTCCTCCCAGCGACCCTTCTATAAGGGGATGTCCAGTTGCTTACAGATGGGCTTTGGGTCTCCACTCCACACTCCCCCTTTTTGTTCTTTGATGCCTGATCCCGAAGCCTGAGTTTCTAAGAACACCTAGTTAATACCTTCACCTAAAATATACTAAAAACCATATAATGCCACCATTTTTATAGAATATAGCTTTCATTTCAGAATTATTTACTTCTATATTGACTTTCTTCCTGTAAAATCAATTTATAATGGTGACTAACTACCTCAAATATTTGGTTTTCCTTTTGTGTGTAAGAACTTTGGGTTTCCAACTGCCAATTTTCAATAAGAGTTCTTCTTTTAAATGTATTATGAGAATGGGACCAATAAGTCATCTTCAGCTTTCATAAATTCTATGTGTGCAAGATGCTGACAATTGATGCTGACATTAGATTTCTGAGATGAAAAAGTGAAATTTTAGATAATTTCCCAACAAATAGTTAATTACAAAAAGAGAGAGGCCTATGTACTTCATGGTAAGAAACTCATAAATTCTCACCCAAACTCTCTATTTTTCCCATCTGGAAACCATTTCATAATGCCTACCATACTAGGCGTTTAAAGAAAATAACCAATAGGTATTGATGTCATTTTATATAAAATGCTTTGTTGCACTGTTGAACAGTATACAGATATCACTGTCCACATTAACTTCAGTTGTTCCTGTGTTAATTGATATAGAGTTGCTCTATGAAAGGCAAGCGGCAGTTGAAGGAACAGAACAAGGGGATATTGCCCGGTTTAAGACCAAGAAAGGTGTGTGTCTATCCTCTCACCATACTTATTAAATCTGTATACTGATCGAATAATCAGAGAAGCGCAATTATATGGGGAAAGTGTGGTATCAGGATTGGAGGAAGGTTTATTAACAACCTGCAATATGCAGATGACACAACGTTGCTAGCTGAAAGTGAGGAGGACTTGAAGCACTTGCTGATGAAGAGCAAGGATTGTAGCCTTCAGTATGGCTTACAGCTCAATGGAAGGGAGACCAAAATCCTCACAACTGGACCAGTAGGTAACATCATGATAAATGGGAAAAGATTGAACTAGGCCTTGCTTGGATCCACAATCAATGCTCATGAAAGCAGCAGTCAAGAGATCAAACGGTGCATTGCGTTGGGTAAATCTGCTGCACAAGACCTCTTTCAAGTGTTGAAAAGCAAGGAAGTTACTCTGAAGGCTGAGGGGTGCCTTACAAAAGTCATGG